GAAAGCTTTCTCCAGGAGAGAAGCAACGGGCACAATATGGCTGAATTCTCATCAAAATTTTATGCTGAAATTAACAAATCTGTTTACAAATTTATTAAAACGTTGCCTCGGCTCGCTCATTTGCCAAGATGCGATGCAGGCACCCGGGGCGGCACTAAGGGATGGAGTTGGATTTTAATGCCCATTCCCCCCCCTAAACCCAACCCCAATCACACCCCAATCCCAACCCCAACCCTTTGCCAGCAGCGTTGTCATTGTCATCAGCATCATCATCATCGTCATCCCTTGGAAACCCTTTCACCCGGGAAGGGGATCATTGCAGCAGGGCCGTGTTTGATCTGCTGACAGTTTGATGTGTTCGCCAATTTTTCCACAATGAAACCTATTGACCAGCAGGCCACAAGCAAACAAAACAATAAACAAAGCAACTTGGCCAACAACAATGGCCAAGAGCGCACGTAACGGCAATTATTCAATATGCAAACAGGCAAACGGTAGCGATTAACATATTATAACTCATACATCTCGGACAAACAATCGGCCCACAAAAGGTGTTAGAATACAAATACACGCACACACACACACTCGGTGGGTGTTCGTTTTGCATAATTCCCGAAATTTCCATAAACACAAACAGCGAGAAATTCATAGTTCAAACAGTTACCGTGTCGCCGACTCGATTTGCATACATACGGACTCAATCCCCCATCACCAATACCAAAAGGCCAAGCTCAGACTGTAACTCGGACACCCACTCGGATTTGAATTTGGATTCGAAGTCAGTCTCCCAGACTCTGTGCTGGGATTTCGGTTTTGGATTTGGTTTCGGTTTTTGGTTTTGGTTTCGGTCTTGGACTTAGATTTTCATTCTTGCATGAATTAGCTGGCCAATAAGAAGTGCGAGTTCTGTCTGATTCATTCACAAAATCGCTGTGTGGGAAAGTCAATAGTGAAGAATTCACGGAATGGGGTATAATTATTGATGGGGAAAGTATTTAGGCCTATAATGTAAATGAATCTAGGAATTTAGAAGCTAAATTAGCAAGTAATTATTATTGTTTTATTAACGCTAATGAGACACATTATTTATCAGTAAGAAAGAAAGGAAATTCTGTGGAATATAAAAGAAAAATTTTAAAAATAAACAACAAAACCCCCATAATCCCTACATAATACCCATCCTGTTATTCGATTGTCCACTCAAGTAAACTGTTTTGCATTCGATATCCTTTTGGTTCGGAACAATATCCCCTTAACGCGGTCAGTTCAGTTTGTATGGAAAGTCTTTAAGCCAAGCCGGCTTAAGCATTTAATCAGTTAATTGTTGGCAACGAGCGTTACGCATGGGTGTGATTTTTTAATTAACAGCGCCATTTACACAGTATTACCGTGCAGCCACGCCCCCACCCACCAGCCCACACACACCCAACACACACACACACGCACAGAGAGGGAGACAAGGAGAGGCATTGGTATGCAAGGGAAACAAGAACAAGTACAAAAATTGCCGTTATCACGCCACAATAACCTCAAAATTTATTCACTTTATTGATAATGCAATAAATCGCAGCCGAGTGGCCCATATGCAAGAGTATGGGTGTCCTGCGATTGTGTGTTGCGAGTCCCTGTGTGTCTGTGTGTGTGTTTGTGGAAGCTGCGTTGCATTTGTATGTGTGCTGCCGGGCGCTCTCTGTGAACTGGCAATTTTTTCGTAGCATATTTTCGGGCTGGCGCATATTTTTCATGTTTGCATATTTCATTTCAATTTTATTTCTTACTGCACCCACCCAGGCACATACACCCTCCACACACACACACACATACACACGCAGTGTGTGTATTTACAGTCTGTGTAAAATATGCCATGAAAATCAACAAGAATTCGCACACCGAACACACGTGAGTGCATTTCTCTCTCTTCGCCTGTGACTCCATCTCTCTTTCGATGCATCGCAATTGTATTTCGATTTTACAGTTTTTGTCTTTAGAAATGTTATGAGAGCAGACCGTTTCAGTGGGTGGTGGGTAGTTTTGGGTGGTGGCTATACGGTACGCTCGATAAAAAGGACATTCCGCCCGCCACAAAGGACAGCTTCAATATTTTCCTTTCATTTCATGAGCCTGCATGTTGGCGACAATGTGTTGATAAGGCAACAACATCAATAAGGGGGTAAGGATAGCGTACAGAGGAACAAATTTGAGTTACTAGAATACCATTTGGTAGTTACTCCTTCTAAAAAAGGATAAAGATAATTTGAGTTTTAAATTCAGCCTGAAATGTGTGGCAATAAGATTTGAAATCACTGAAAATGTATATAAATTATAATAAATAAGATACTTATAGATGGAAGTTTAAATATATTGTTTTAGTAATAAGAATGGTAAATTTACCCCACCTGGTTATAGTTTTCTCCCAGTGCAACCGTTACATTTTTCATTTCCACATTCGCAAACCAAAAATTGGGTCTCTCCTCTGTCTGTGTAAGGCACTTTGGCATGCATTTTCACACCCTTGCTGACCGTGACAAATTGGCTTGCATTCGTGTGTCCGAGTTTTCTTTCCTTTTGTTTATTTTCCCCACTTTTTGCTTATTACCAATCGAGGCGGGGTACCGCGACGGCTTAAAGGGCTTCATCAGTACACTTTAAGCCCGATTTGAGCTTCTTATCTTGGTCAACTGGTCGAGGACGCAGCTGCATGCTATTCGCACTTCCGGTTACAGTCCATTTAGGGCACCATATTGCCGGGTGTTGGTGTTGGCACTTTTGCGCATATTTTGCAAAATCATTACTTAAACACACACAGACACAAACACAGGCAGGACGAAAGGGTACTGGCCAGTCCAGTGGAACGCTGCCCTTGCCCTTTTTTACCAGATCCTTTACACCATGCTGCTCCTTGTTTTTCCACGCTCTGTCCTTCGCTTGCCTCGTTTGCTTTTTCGGGGTGGGATGGGTCGGTTTTTAAAATGCATTTTCGTTATTTTCACTGCAGCTGCGACGCGCTGCCCGGTTTGCTGCTTCTGGCTGGCTGTCGTCGATCTTTTGCCACTCACAGCATTTAGCCTCAGTTGCCTCAGTTGCCCCCGAAGGGATGAGCGGAGGAGGAGGAGCTCCCTCTCAGCTTGGCCACCAAAGCCATCCTTCCAACAGTTTAGTTTGGCGTTAATTTATGAGCAACATTTAGCAGTTTTGTACCTGGGAAAGCCGCTGCACAAGCCGTTCCAAAGGGAAGTTTGCTTTATGGCTTGTTGTTTGCCACCTGAAAAATATAGCAAAAGAATGGAGGTTGAGACAAATGAAACGAACGTAGGATGCCCTAGAAATATATCATTTTTTAAGAAATTTGTAATATTTTCTTTCTAGTTCATAAAATTGTATAGAAAGGTATGATACAGACAAGAAAAATCCATAAATTTAAAGTTGAAGCTTACTAAGAGACTTAAGCTATCTTTAAAAGAAATAATGACGAAGTTTTAATCAAAATTCTTTATTAACCGTAATTGTTTACAAACAAATACTTTTCAAAACATATTAATTTCATAAAACATTAATTTAAAAAGCATAAAACATATAAATAAATAATTCAACATTACATTGTTTAGCACCTTCTGCTATTTAAATCAACAACAAATCTAAGATTTATATTTGGCGCTCAGCTAACCCTTAAATATCATACAAATTTTATTAATGTATAAATATAAATATAAATAAATATATAAATATATAAATATATAAATAATAAATTCCCATTCCCAAGGGTATGTTATATTACTATACAAAAGTTAAAAATATACCTTAAGTTTTTTGCAATCTTTTCACGAATTGCCTGCTCATAAATACACATATCGTTCGATTTGTTGTAGTTTCTGTTATTTATTTATTTATTACTCCCTGCTATTTTTGTTACCCTATTTTGGCAACCATTGAAGATAGGGGCAAGCAGCTTCTGTAGCCGCTTACCTGGCAGGTGCGAACACACTAATCCAGCCATAAAGAGACTCCCACTCCCCCAGTACCAATAACCAATATTGACCATTGGGATTGGACTTGTGCCTGATTGGCTTATTTTACAATTTACACCAGGCCGAGTGAGTAGAGTCTAGTTGAGTGGAGTTGATGGAGGTGGAGGTTGAGTGAGTGGTCAAGAGAGTCACTCTGGCTGCCGTTTGCCGCTAAATGAGCCATGATCGGTGGAAGAATGCGCCGTCCGTCAATTAGCGGAGTCCCAAATCTAGCACCTTGTCAAAGTGAAAGGCCCCTCCGGGCTGGTGGCAGGGGGCATATAGAGTAGTAAGTAGCTAGTGGAAGTGGGTTTCCGCCTCGGTTCGATTGCGAGCTCTCAAAGTTGCCAATGGCGCATTTCATACATTTGTATTTGTTGGCCCCTCGTTTGTTCTCTCTTCTTTGTAGCATTATAGTCGGGAATATATGTATATATTGTATATCGGTGGAGTGGAACGAGTGCTGACAATCATGGAGGGGATGGCGTTCTTTTCAAGGATCCTAAGCAGACTTAACTTCCTTCAGACACCGTAAAAACCCTTTCATATTAAACATTACTCTCTGAAGGTATTTATTGATATATTTCTTAAATTTGTTGTTAAAATATTTAAAGGGCAGCACTGATTATAGCTACTTATTGCCAGCGGGTGGAATATCCGGTATGGGCATCCCATAGCGACTGAGAGCTCTTGACTTTAATCACACTAATTACGCAACTAAAAGGATAATCGTGTCGCTGACCGCACAAGCGTCTTAATGCGTTTCTCCAACTTTTTGCCAGTGTGTGTTTGATTGTGTATAGTGTGTGTATTTGTTTCTATTGATGTTTTCCAACCCCGCGATTGTCATAATCCCCTACGAATCGAGGCATGACAAGCTCATTAACCGAGTAAAACATCAGCTTAAAGCCGATACAGTTCTTAAAGACATTCGAGTTTATTAAATCCTAAAATAACCTGCTATCGAAAACCTATTAAGCACCAGCTTTTCTCCACCTACAGCATTGAGTTCCTGAGGCGGTAAGTCATACTGAAACCTGTCTCTACGCTCCTGTCCAGGGTGAGGTCATCGCTGGAGAAGTGCAGCAGATAGGGCGGCGATGCTGCAAGGGGAAGAGGGAGTGTCAGTGTCCTGGAGGATGCAACCACGCCACAACCACTCACTACTCACCATAAACCAGCAGATTGTCATTGCTGCCACAGTAGTAGGTGGGCTGGTAGGCCATGTTCTTGGCCAAAATGCCCTGCGGTATCATCAGGTAGTCCTCCTGCCGGCCCGCCGTATGTACAGTGGCATGGCAGAACTCGTCGTAGCCCTCGGCGGCCCCATCCTGCACGGACATTGAGAACTTGCTGAAGGAGTATCTGTAGGGGCGGATGCGGTTAAGTCTCTGGTCCTTATTTATAATTAGATCTCGGATATGCTCACTCAATCATGCTGGCACTGGTCGACGACTTAATGCAGATGTTGTAGTTCAAGTTGGGCATATAGTTGCTGGTCACCGCTGTCTGGAAGTTGAAGCTGCGAATGGTGTTCGACAACTCCGTGTAGTATTGCTGGCAGCCCGGTGGAGCCAGCAGCTCGTAATCAGCATGATGAGAGGCGAAAATGTCGCGCAGATCCTGCAGGGAGTTTGTGCTGGCCCCAAAGGTTCCCGGGGAGGTGCTGGAACGACGTCTGCTACCCGCCGGCGGACCCTCCAATTGGGTTACTATCAACCGCCATGTGGTTCCTGTCCATTTCGAGGGCACCGAAAAGGTGAGCGTAACCTGCTCCACTCCCGCGGCTGCATTGAAGGGCAGGTACAAATGCTGGCCACTGTTCACACCACACAACTTGAAGCCATCCGCCTCGAAATAGTCCTGGCAATCTAGGACTCCATCCGTTTCCGTGGGTTGAGCCAACTCAAACTGCTCAAAGTCGATTCTCAGTTGCTGGACATTGCTGCTAAAGGCCTCGATTGTGTAGGTGTTTAATTCGTTGACCAATGCGCCAGGATTCTTGATAATCGTTCGCTTTTGGCGGGTAGAAGCCCCAACTTGGAGGTTTGCTGAAAAAGATTTTAATATTATGTTGGTATTATTATTCACAAGCGTATTTTCTCCTGAACATTTTGAAAAACTAAGAAAAAACCTCATAGAATCATTTAAAAAAATAGTTTCGAACTTTTAAAAATAAACATAAACACAGAGAACTGAAAGTAGATACGAATTAAAAACACGAATGAAGTATAAATTGCTCCGTGATTTTATGGTAAATAAACTCTTAAACATTCTCAAGCAAGTATAGGCTATATTTTTATACTTTACTGAATTCCCTTCTTTTCTATAATTTTTATTTTTAATGTTTTTTCCACTCACTTTCACAACAAACCCCGTAGGTGCCGCAATATCCATTGACTGTGCCCGATTGGCGCATGCACTTGAACCGCGTGAGGCAGGTGCCAGTGGTGCCGCTGTTGGTTAGACAACTATCGGCCAGGACACTCCTCCGCCTGCCCTGACGCCACATGCCAGGTTCTTGAGCCACCAAACCTCCTCCTAAGATATTCGAATCATTCAGAGCCTGCGTTTGAGCCCGGGTAAAGGCCAGACATCCCAGGAGAAGCAGCAGCAAACTACAATTTATATATCCATTCATGGTAATCCTCTTGGAGTTTCACTCGAACTTAACACTCTTCGCACCCACGATCACTTTCACATCGACTGTCTGGGTTTTTCGGAGGTCGCCGTGCTTTTATAGCCCTTCTTCGGAAGCGAAGAAGAACGAAGAATTCGGAAGAATCCGAGAGATACGGCCATGCGTTGATGAGATTTTCGTGTCGGAGGCAACGGCGTGTCAATATTTGGTAGGAGAAGAAGCTCGGTTTGTCACTTGCGGCGGCATGAATATTCAGAGCCCGTCTAGTTGCGCCTATTAATGTGCTGGTGATCGAGTCATTGAACCTCGACGAGGTGGACAGTACTCTGATCTTAGATCCGTTTAAACTGGGTTATGTTTACTCACATTCGGGCGAAGATCGATCAGTGTCCGCCGCCACATCATTATCATCATAAATGAAGATGACGATCTACTCACTGTGATGATGAAGAAGCTGGCGATGATGATGTCAAAAAGTGAAAATAGGGTGTGAAAATGACAAGACCCCAATTACTGAATTGCACAACAACACATCATAAAATTGGGCAACAAACAAGGCGATAAATGCATGGAAAAGACTCAAGAGGTTTGTTCTATTCTCAGTTGTTTGGAAAAACGTCTAAGAAAGCGGAATGGCAATCAATTGATTGATGTCGAGGAAGATACCTAAATAATTTAAGCACGATAAGACCCTGTCAATTGTTGGTACGTCAAACTTTATCACTAATCACAGGGATTCAGTAGGATTTAATTAGAATTTATTATTGTTGCTTTGCTCAAGTTTACCGAGACTTTGTTTGGTGATAAAGTATAATAATAAGAAGCTCTTTTAATTATAATATATGTGATAAGAAAGTATCTTAATTATTGCAAGTGAAGAAAAATAACAAGTAAGCTGAAAATAGATTATTAAAAGTATGTAGTATAGATGGCATTGTTTATTTTATTGTTTTTTTGACTACATTTTTATACCCTTTCAAGGGTATTATAATTTCAGTCAGAAGCTTGGAGTCATTTTGGACCCTATAAATCATATATATTCTTGATCAGCATCAAAAGCCGAATCTCGGTATGCCCGGCCAAAATCTATTTCTTTCAAAATTGTTGAATTTTCATAAGGGGTGTCATCGTTAAAATTTTTTAAAATTCATAACAATTTAAGTTTTTTTAAATGTTACTGAATGTATGCAGATTTTTTAACCTTATAAAAACTAACATTGAACTGCTTTCCGAATTAAAATTAGAAATGAGTTTTTTAAGCTATGATTTGTATGTAAAATGTATGATTATGAAAAAATGGTCATATAAAAATATCAATAAATATTTAATAATTTAGGCTTATTAATTATTGATATTCCATTCGATCTTATAATTCAATTGCAAGCTGGAAGGGTCAAAAAACTTCGGCTTTCCAAAGTCAGTTACCTTTGTTTTTTGAATTCTTTTAGGAAGAGACCCATTCCCTCTAAAATCCTCTCTTTGTTCTCCCCTTAGTTAACTATAAAAAATCACCTCAACTATTTTTAGGGATACCCCAAGAGCTTCGCAGGTGCCCCCTTCGGAAAGCCGATAATGCCATCGATCGATCATATACGCTGACACTGAAAACGTGGCCAATTGGTTGAGATAGGTGTATCGGACAGGTGAGATTGCGGCCGGGCAATAAAAAGCCAGCGACTGACCGCTTCGAAGACTCATTGTCAGAACGAAGATGAAGACGTTTAGTGCAACAGGCAGCCTGCTCCTCCTGGTGGCGGCATTCTCCACCATCGAGGCCGCTTCGGTGGCCAAGCCCACGTGTGGCGGTACTACCTCCTCGAAGAACATCAACCTGATTAACCCGACGAATCCGCCAAGGCTGTGCGAGTACCATGTGAAGGCCTACAGCAAATATGTGTGCCAGCTGCGCATTGACTTCGCCATGGACTTGGCCCAGCCCTCGCTGGTCAGCCAGGGTTCGGGTCTGACCTACGCCGAGTGCAACAAGGATTACTTTGAGGTCAATGGTTTGCGTCTGTGCGGTACCGAGGTGTGGCAGCATATCTATGTGCCCTTCAATGCCACCGATGGCGATACTGTGGTGGATCTGGAGATTGGACTGGCCGATCGTGCTGGAACCTATGGAGAGGTCATACCCAGCTGGAATATGATTGTGACCCAACTGGAGTGCCCGGCGGGAGCCTCTGTCCGCTCCTTGGATATTGATGATGAGCCTTTGACCATTGAGGGTCGTGCCAGTTCTATTAAGGATGGCTTCTGGGTGGCTCCTCCTGGCTGCCTGCAGTACTTCCCCGAGTCCAAGGGTGTGGTCAAGTCCTTCAACTACAACGAGGGCGATGGCATCTATCCTTCCAAGATGAACTACGCCATCTGCTTCCGTCGTGATGTGGATACTACGAGTCTTAAGTGAGTTTTATTTATAGAATAATAATTTAATTCACTAATGATTATTATTAATTTAAAGCATCCGCGCCTATTACTTCAATGTGGGTGCCCAGGAACAAGCTAGCACCATGATGACTGATAATAACTGCTATGATAGCTCCAGTACCAGCGACTTGGATGCTGATTTCCTGATGGTGCCCCAGGCCACCATGGAGGATAGTCACACGCACGCCACCTACTTCTGTGGCTCCATCAAAAAGGACGTGGTTATTACAAGTAAGTTTACGTGAGCTTTTCCAACGGAAAAGCTGCGAAAAACACTAGTTAACATAACACTTGATAAGGTGAAAATATTATGGAAAAATATTTAAAAATTGAATCATATATTTAACTTAAAATTAATATTAAATATTTTATTTAGATCATACATTGAATAATACACCTCAAGAAGAAATAGTGAAAACACGAGATATGTTTTCTATTATTTCAATCCATCATCAAGTTTATATTGATCAATATTTTCTCTTAAATTCAATACTTTCCTTTATAGATATATCCCTAAAATGATTCATAATTACCTTTATGAGTTCCCATTACATTTTTTAAACACTTTTTTAGGCAACAATCCCGGTCCCCTGATGGTTCTCTTCAACAGCGACGACATCTACAGACAGAATGAGGCTGGCTTTGCTTTCACCTACACCGTGTCCTAAAGCGGCAAAAGTTTCTTTGATAATATATGTACTCAAGCTAAAGAAGGAATTTGCCAATAAAAACATAGAGAGCTTTAAAAGAAAGACTTTGGCAAGTGTTTATTCTGGCATTAGCGGCAAGCAATCAAAGCGATCCGCTTTGGGAACTGAATTTGGCAAATAAAATTAAAAGCGGCTTTATAGGTATTATTTTCTACACGCTTTCGGTTTCTTTTCCTATCGGTTTGCTCTATCAATTACAGATAATTGCTGAGTTATCAGGCAGATGGCGAGGGGGTTGTGGTAGGGTGTCAACATTTGTCAGTAACAATTACCAGACAAGCGATATATTATCTCAAGAAGTCTTGACTATCTGGAGCCATATGCGAGGCAATCTATCAAGTGGCCCAAGCATATCTAACAGATTCCAATCTTGGCTAAACTTTATCTAAACGCCTTCAGGTCGGGCCTCGAACTGAAAACTGACTAACTGCTAAAGTCATCCATCAACTTGGGAAAACGGTTGTAAAATGGGTTGGGTTTTCTGTGAGTTTTATGAATCATTGGATGAGTTGGTTATTGCTTAAAAAATTGTACTCTTGGGGATTGTGTCTTAAGAAACTGTATTTTTAGGTTCTTAAAAATAAATCTTTTTGGCGGCTTTTCTTGAATTTCAAATACTAAATACAACAGTGCGTATACGAAATAATTCTGGGCTCTACTATAAATGCTCCTATAAAAAAATTTAAAAAGAGTGGAAACTGACTCTGGGAAGAAATTTTTTTTTAATTTTTATAAAAAATTTTAAAAATTTTATTTTTTTCCGGAGATGGCTAGATCTTATAGATAGATAGATTCTGCTATCGATGCTGATCAAGAACATATATGATTTAAAGGGTCAGAAATTACTCCTTCACTACGTTACAAGCTTCTGAATAATGTTATAATACCTTTCAGGGGTATAAAAAGTCGTATCTTTTGACGTAGTTTCGGAAGCCATTTGTCGGTCAAAAACGAATGTTAATCTTTAGAATAGTTGCATATTTTTATATATGCTTTAGAACTAAAACTAAATATTTTAGATCTAAAAAGCTTATATCAGTTTTAGCTTTTCAAAGGACATAAAGCCAAGACCAAACCCAAATATAAAACCCATCAAATATCCTTCTGAAAGCTCTTCAAAAATGTTGAAAATATCAACAAGTGTGCAAAATTGAGGCTGGTCTTTTCGAAATGACTTTAACTGCTGATAGACGAATCTTAAATTAGAATACAACTGATTAAAGACGGTAATTAAACTCGAGTTTTTAATGATTGGCGCTAAGCACAGTCCAATTGGCAGCAATCCGTCTCGCCGCGTCTTATTGGAGCTGCATGAAATGATAAGCAGAAAGCCGGCACAACAAGTTGCGAGCAACAAATACCACCCCATGCCGAATCTGCAGTGCAAAGCTTACAGAAAGCTCTGTTACTGGAGCGTTGATAACAATGTTGCTGGCAACATGCCATGCCATGCTGGGCAACTTTGTTGCCGGCAACGATGAAGGCCGGCTGGCTGCCAGTTTTTGTGGCACGCGGATGGGATTCAGTCCAATTGGAAGCGCGCGCGCAAAATTCAAACTAGAATTTCACTCAACGTTGACGGTTGTGCCGCGGAAAAACGGAAAATTCGTATCAGGAAAATTCGACTGCGATTTGAACCTAGTGTTAAAGTGATTTCAAGTGCTAGAGCGAGTGCGAGTGGGAAACGCTCATTAAATCCCGAATGGGTGCACAATAAAAAGTTTTTTGAGAACCGACCATTGAAAAGTGAGTGTGAGAGTGTGTGCTGGGGTGTGCGTGTGTGTTTATATTATATACCCGCCTGCCATTGTCATCAGAACTGGAGCGCTTAAATGCCCATCTAAGTGGCAGGCATTTAATCAAGTCCAAGACCCACTCTCAGTCTCCATCTTCAACGCCATCGGTGTCACAATAGAGTCGAGGACGGGCGTAAAGCTACTCCTGGCTTCCTGGCATCCTGGCTTCCTGGCTGCTTCACCCCGGGCACATTCACGAAATTCCCAGTGAAAACATAGCCATAAATTAACAACTAATTCAATTAACTGCCGACAACGTCAACGAGCGGCTGCAGCGGGAAAAGCCCTGCCAGAGTAGTCCCTCTGTGTCGGTGGTGTCGAGTCCTGGTGCCGAGCACTGCAACGCCGCAGGATATGCGGCCGGCTGTCTAGAAGGAATTCCTTGTGCGAGCCTCCTCCTACTTCACGGTAAGCCAAACGCACACAATGGCCCCTAGAAATATTTCATAACTAACTCACACACATGGGTCTGACGTTGCGGCTGCTGGGAACCGGAAATTATGACAAACGTTCTGGTATTTAAATTCGATTAAATTTCGTTTTTAAGAAACTCCGGATAATAGTGAATTTAAGGTTTCAAAATGGTCAAAAGATAGAAGATTTTAAGCATATTCTGATGAGCTTTAAAAGTACATATTGGTGTTTGCAAATTTTCGCAGAGAGAACTTATAGAATTTTCTGTTTAAATACTTTGCCAATTAAATTAAAAAGTTCAGTTAAATAAAAATTAAAATAGTATCAAAAAACCTTCAACTTGCATCTTTAAACATACGTTTTCTCTACAATTTTGTAGTCTTCCTTTATCACCTTACCTTCTCTGCAAAAGTGTTTATTCCTGAATAATTTATTACAAACTAAACTAAATTTACAACATCTTACAGTGTTCTGTAAACAATAGTTTATACTATGGGTCAATAATACTACAAAAGAAGCTATAACTCCTGTTCAAGTCATTTGCAAAAATAGAAAAGCCTAAAAATAACAAATCGAAAACGTGTGAAAAAAGTGTGAAAGTGTAAACCGGAACTTGCTGGCATGACTTTTTCGTATGTGAGAACCTGAATGAAAGAATTCTTTAAGATATTCACTCAATGCCCGGCCATTATGCAAATTCTTGATTGGGGGAGAGGCGCTCAAAGGATTTAGTTAGTGCCAATCTATTCAGTGTGTGTGTTGGTGAGAATTGGCTTTGTTTGCCTACCGAATCCTGGCCAGGAGCAGATGCATAAATCAACGGCAGCAGCATTTCTCTGGGCTCGTTTGATTTCTGATTTTTCTCATTTCCAGCTCAATGCTGACGCACGCTTTAAGGCGATAAATCTTTACGATCTGGCCAAAAAAGACGAAAAAGAAAATGTCTTGGTCTTTAATTGTTAAACGCACAATCTGCAATCGATGATGATTTCACAGCACGACGCGACACTATCATTATATGCCCCCGATGATCATGATGTATCTGCTGCCATTTGTCACTGTAACAAGTTGAGCCTGGCGGCCAAAAGCAAACAATTTGCCACCGGCTATATATTCGCTATTTGCTGTTAGCTGTTTGGCTTTCAGCTATTTGCCATTAGTCGCTTACGTGGCGCTTGTATTGCAACGTGGATGTCATAGATACTAGGTAAAGAAACATAGGTATATATATGCCACACCATGGCCGATATAACACTGGGTTACAGGGAACAGATATCACCAAGTAAAAATCAAAACCTTAAACTCTTCTCTGAGGTACAGATACTGTATCTTAAAAGAGAGAGACATTAGAAATATGGTATCTATACTAAATTAAAATAATATAAACCTTTTCCAAAATTCAAATATTAAATTGAAATGATCACTTTACTAAAAAACATTTCAGAAACATTGTAGATAAAGTAATTTCTTGAAAACTAGTGTATCAGCGTGGGTCTTGCAGGCGCGGCATGAATTTGCTTTTACGCTTTTACTTTAAACAATAAATTCTGGCCCAGCGCTATCTCTTAGCCAGGATGATGCCCGGGAATAGTCTGGAAAATGCATTTATATATATATATATTATTTTTGCTGCTTTTGTTTATGTCCACGTGAGCCATAATGCAGCGTCTAATGAGTAAATATTGCCAGAGATAATATACGAGGGCATGGTAGCTTTCTCAAAAGATAGAAATCTTTACTTTGCGCAGTTGCAGCAAGTAATTCAGGAAGTACACTATATCTTTTTTGCGCTTAGATACAACTAGTTCATTTTCTAGTAAAAAAAACAGATAAGGTAATGACTGCGAATGCTTCTTAAATGTTATTCAAATATTATTCATTCGCTGTCTGAGTACCCATTATAGGTCACTGTAAAATAGCTGCAATGAATGTCAATAGAATTTAACAAGTAAATGGGAGAAACAATTAAAAAACCATTAGAGGAGTTTTTTATGGGTTTGTTAATGTATGATTAAAATTATTTTACAAACAAATTAATCTATGAATAGCTTCTGCCCATCTGAAATACAACATTAACATTCCATAAACACCATAAAAATAACAATTAGTTCAATTTATTTATTAAGACATTGAAAAACATTTTTAAGAGCTTTGGCAATTGGTAATTATAAGTTCTACTCTAGTTATTAGTTTTCTGTTTTTATGTTGTTATTATCCATAGAGAATTTCATTTATTATGGCCAACTGAATCCCATTTGGCCATGATTTATGCTATGCAGAAGTCCATGTAAACAATTTCCGCCAATAAGCACAGAAAACAACTCACTTCGAATTCCTTTATTTGCCATCAACCACGCATCATTTGTGGCTTTTGTCGATTGATTGATATTTCCTAATCGACCGGCTCCCGAAATTAATTTGCTGTCCAGTCATTTCAATAGCATCGTTACATAACAGGCAATCGGATGTGGATTCAAAATCATCATCAGCCTAGGCTCATCTGCGGCTTCAATGTTTATTGTATTAAGCATTTTTCCAAAAATTAATTGCAAATTTTGAGCTATTTTCGAATCGCAATTTTCCACCTCGTGCGGATTTTCTTCCCACAAGAAAACTAAAGAAAGAAAAAAAAAGAGAAAAGACGGAGAGGTCTAAACAATAACAAAAAGACTAGCGCTGATTGAACCGCTCAGTGCACAATTTCAATCAATTTTTCAATTAATTTTCATTACCCCCTCGTGTGGCCAGTTGGGAAGTGGGCCCGATGATCAAACGTTGATGGGATCGCACGGCCAACGTCATTGTTAAGGCCATACTGGCCATACGCAAATTCAGGAAAATTAAAATTAATTGTTATGGGACTCCATAAAGCATTACAATGCAGGAAAATCGCTTGACGACGTGACTCACACAACAAGTGGGACAAATGGCAACAAATTAAGCGATTAACTTGATATGTCAATGGATTGAGTTAATTTTAATTCATATGTCTTTTTAGTGAGAAATAATAAAAATAACACAAGAGTAAAAGAGAATTATCACAGGTCTTCTTATCATTAAAAGCACTTTATTAAATATTAAAGTATTAAAAATGTTCAAGTATAAAAATATTCAATTCAACCGAAATATCTATATTTTTTTTATAATATACAATAAATACAAAAGTTTACAAGAATTTCTTTCAACTTGTCAACTCAAAGTTCACCCATATAATCAAAGATTATTGAAATTACATATAATAAACCTTTAAAAAAATGCTTTCTTGCTGTGTAAAACCTGCAACAGTTGTCGTTCTGGCCAAGTGTGCCAAGAGGGCTTAGAGGGGCAGGGCTATTCTAAGACATGGCCAAAACAAACAAACAAACTACACAACTTATGCGACGCTTACATGGCCCAGTGTGTGCGGGTTCAATTAACGTTGGCCAAAACGACAACTTGTTCTCCAGGTTCTCTGGGAACCTGGACCGGAGTGGCGTGGCCTTAAAAGGCAGCCCAAAGATGCCCTGGCAATCAGCGGCCCAACTGGCAGAAAAAGTTGTTAATTGGAATTTAACAATCACTAAAAGCGTCTAATGGAGAGATGCGTGCTAGATGCGTGCACCGCCTCTTGGATCGCTGGCTGCCTGACTTTGCCCCACTGTGCGGCTACCAGTTTACCCACTCTGGGCTTTATCTGCCGGCAAATGTAGAAATTAAGTTTCGCTTGGCCAGATGGACCCCATCCCATGGACTCGGACTCGCTTGGACTGTCAGTATCGCTTACGTGCCGCAGCAGCAGCATCAGCAGCATCAGCAGCCGGGCAAAAACAATCAACATCAACTTATTTGTCCGCTGGCTAAACATCAGCCAGCAGCAGCTGCTGATGCCAGATAGCCAGATAGCGGAGGCCTCGTTGTCATGACCATTCCTGGGTCCCCAGCACCGTACCCCGGTACCGGGAAGAATCGTGATTTTCCCCCACACACACTGGCCAAAATAATGAGATGCCTTGCAGAGCCTCACGATTACTCGCATGCTTTTGTCTGATAATCAAATTAATTCTTTTCAATTCTAAAGCTTTGAGCTTTTTTTTTTGTTTTATAACCTTTCATTTAGTTTAAATATTTACTATATAGTTGCATGACAACATTTCCCTCAGTGCACTTAGATAAGGCTCTGCTTGCATTCTTGCACCGGCATTTAGTCGTGGGCCCCGTAACAAAGATCGTTAGCCAAAGGAATTATTGGGAGCAGCTTTTCCAGCCATCTAGCGGCGGTTCGAGTGTGGAAAATAGTTTCTCTCAGCAGCTCTGCTCCTCTGTGCCTCTGCGAATGACAGGCCAACGCTTTTAGCCAGCCCGCCCGCTGGCTTTCGGCTGGTTCCCCTTAGCTTGTCGTAGGCATTGGCTCCTCCTGCTGGTGACAGTTCACGTCACCGCAGAGCCACCAGCTGGCAGCCACCGACGGCATCGCCTCCTTTGTGCTCTCCTGTCGGCGCTAATGAAGCATCACACACACACATATATATATCCCAGCCAGGCACACTCCAAGGTGGC